ATATAGTATATGACAACCCCTTCCTAGTATTATTCTATGGTTGTACATGACTCTATCGCTCTTTATTATGATCCACTTAAAAATATTTTTGTAAGGGCAGGGTATCAACATATTTGTATTAAGTTTTAGTTTGATCTATAGTAGAGTCAAAGGAATTTCTATTCATTAACCAGAACCTATTGGCATGAGCGAGATCTTCCTTAGTTGCTAAAAAAGGATTTTTTTAATAAACTTTTAACTGAAATATAAAAAAAAAAAGATATCTCTTCTTCATGTAAAATGGTAATCGATTTGTCCTGTAAAGGAAACAGATCTTTTGCAAAAGGGAAGAGGACCAAGATGGAGGGAGAGAGAAGAGACAAGGTAAGTGTTTTGTACAGGTACCAACATAGTGAATGTGATCATCAGATACTGCAAATATATACGAGGAAAAATAAAAGATTTAAGCAAGAAAACTAAATGTGTTCATTGATCTCAGTTGGTTTTAATTCATTGTTGGTAAATTTTAACCTCCACAGTATAACTGTAAACCAGAACAAACTCAGGATGAACCAGATATATACAGACTGATTTGAGGACCCAACAGCAAGTCAAAATGCTGTTAAGTCACCTAAAAGGTATACTCCACATGTCTTAGACCAGAAACACCCATCACCCATCTGGGAAATAAAGTTCAAACAAGACACTGGTGGCAGTCTTTCTGTCCCATTCCAGTGTCCACTCCAGACCACTGAGAATTGAGTCCAGGACCTTGACTCTGAGCATCTCTATAACTTGGTTTTTTTTTTTTAATTGTGAAATAGTCTTACTAAGTTCCTTTAAGGGCTCAGGTGGGGATCAAACTCATTAATGCTCCTGCTTTAGCTTTCCACTGTGCTGAGATTATAGGTGTGCATCACTGCATCTGGATTTGTTCTGCATTTTCTTTAAAAGTCCTATACCTTTTACATATAAGCATATATGTATGTTTTAAGGCATAAATATACAGACATATATTATAAGGTACAATGGGAAGAACTTTTCAGATAAGCAACAAAAAGAATGTTTGGTGGGGGATCGGTGTTCAGAAACCAAACCAATAGTTTGTCTAAAACTATCACTATTGATTCAAAAATACTGTCTTTAATTAGTTAGATATGAAACAACTGAGTAGCTGCCTGAATGCCCATTTATTCTCAGCTTTTATCTTCACATTCAATCTTACGTACTATCTCCATAATGGTCTTTTCCTTAGCTAATGAAAAGGCTTCAATTTTAGGTGGCATAGGATTTCTGCGCAACCAAAGTAAAGATGAAACAGATGTTACGGTATGATGGTGCATACCTACAATTCCAGCACTCAGGAGGCTGAGGCAGGAGGAATGCCACAAGTTCAAGGACATCCTAGAGTACAAAGTGAGTTCAATGACAGCCTAAATACATAGTAAGGCTGTCTTTAAAAACAAAGAACAAAAGCAAAAAGAAAAAATCCAAATGATGTAGTTGTAAGAATAATGAGTGACATCTACTCCTCAAGCACATACAGAACTTCTGAGAAACTAAAATGAATGTATTTAAATAGTGATAGTAAGAAGATAGTTCATGTTACCCAAAGACAACTAATTACCCTGTGCTTACATCACTGAAGTTAATAAATAAAAGTACATATTTTAGAGAACATGACTCCACCTGAAAGAGTGAGACAGAGATTACTATGTGATCAAGAAATTCGGAAAAAAAAAATTTTTTTTGTCAAAACAATACAATGCCCAGGTAATCTCTTAATTTCAACAGCTCAATATTCACAGAGTAACACACAGATACCTAAAATACAAACTCTAGTCCCAAGGTTTAAATGAAGTATTTTCACTTCGAGAAATGTTCTATCAAAGGAAGTAACTATATCACATTAAATTTTATCTATGTACTTCTGAAAAGAATTACATGAAAAGTGGTTATACCAGAAACAAAACTGAACAAGTGAAACCAAAGAAGAATTGTCCTTACACTATAGGGTCAACTATAATATATGCCATTGAACAATTTAAAGCACAGAAAAAGTTGTATGAAATGCTGGAGGGTAATACAAAATAATGAAGACCAATAAAGGAGACACCATGCTGGTGACTATCTCTAAGCAACAAGCAATCAAAGTCTAAGACAAGCATCTTCATAGTGTACAGTGAACTCCAATGCATAATGTGAGAAACACTTCCCGTTCAAGAACAATCATAAAATTTATTAGATTCAATTAAATATAAGAACCTAAAATAATAGAGCTTTCCCCAAAACTTATTTCCATAAAGAACTCAAATTATTTTGGCTTATATGTTAAACATCAGCAGGGACATATTTCTATGAATAACTGTCATCCTATTAGAAAACACATACAGAGATTCAACACCAAAACATTACTCATTCAGAAAATGTGCCGGAGAACATCTACTCCTCATTCAAAAGGAATCCAAACCACCTGAGAGGTACTTGAAGAGGAAATTATTCATAAAAGTCCAATTCCTCATCTATAGGGTGTCTTTAGCTCAAAGCTAAAGAAAGCTGCACACACATTTCACTTTTCTGGCTGTCTCTCAGAAAGGAACCATGGCTTTCTGGAGGGAAAATAGACCTAGAAGAAATAACAATAAAACTTAGCCACCAAAAATTCCTCTCTCTACTCAAAAGATTGGTACTGTCAGGCAGAGGCTCAAGACCTCAGAGCAATATCCTAGAAACTCCAAGGATGTTATCACTAATATAAATGTAAATGGACTAAGGGCAAATATCCAACTTGCTACTCAAAAGTCATCTTTAAAATCTTTTGCAGCAGAATTTAAAAAAAAACTATCAATATAACAGTTTACTGAAACATCTACTTAACTCTATATAGAACTAAAATGTTATACACTAGTATGGAATATTGCTTCAAACAATAGTAATAAATATGCCAACTTTTAGAAACATGTGGTATGCTTTGGCAACTTACATTCCAGGTAACTGCTAACTTGATGATAACACATTAATAATATTGTAGTTTAAGAATGTTTTAAATATATCAAGCCCCCCTCCTGTAATCTTGAATAAAACACTGCAGGGGATATAGCTCAATGGCACAAGCATCTGCCTGGCAAGCAGAAGGCCCTGAGTTCAATTCCCAGTTTTTTTAAAAAAACAGGCTCAGGAGATAGCTCAGTGGTCTAAGCAACTGCCTGGCAAATGCAAGGACCTGAGTTCAATCCCTGATACCACATACTATACTGGCTGTGGAATCCCAGTTGCACCGTGCCAGCCAAGGAAAATGGGCATGGTGGTGCATGCCTGTAATCCCAGTACTGGGGAGGCTGAGATAGGAGGATCACTGTGAGTCTGAACTGTGTGGTGAGACCCTATAACAAATAAGTAACTTTTTTTTAAAACCCTATATAAAATATGTAACATTTCCAGGAATATAAATGATAATTGAAGACCAGCACACTTTGTTAATACCCACAGATTGAGACTATCAAAAATTACCTGCTGAAATTACCCATCTCTATATCCTACTCAACACAGGGAAGCAAGGGTACGGATCACACATTTCTGGGTGTTTCTAGCAGACAACCATGTGTGCCAAGTTAAAGCAGAGAAAAAAGAATGAATCCTCTAAAGAAATAACCTATAGCAAAAATTAAGGTGTAGCCCTCGATATGGACAGCTCAGCAAGACACAAGGCTCAAATCACTGACCAACAAATCAGAAAGCCAAGAAAATGTACAACCTATCTTAATTTTGAAACTTAAAAGTACACTGAGAGAGTCAAAAACTGAAGCTCTGGTCTTTTAAAAGTGATCTTTACAAATCAGTTCTGTGATGGTTTCCATTTTCTTTCATAGTTTAAGCCTCAATCCAATCAGCAGTCTCCAGGGATTTTTGAAATCGCAATGGATTAAAATTCTGATTCAACTGTTTGACTAATTCTGAGTATTTAATAATTCTACTTGAGTGAGACTTTTTTGGACAGAATCCTGCTGCTTGCTATCTTCAGATGTTCTGCAGCCGTACCATAGTACAAGTCACCAGTGTCCTTATTTTCTCTATCACTCATCTTAAAGATGAGAAAATGTATTATTACCAGCAGCTCTATTATTTAACAGGCTTTGCTGAAAACACTTAAGACAGCAACTATCTTGTAGAAAGGTACAGGTCTCCTCCAGGTACTAGTGACACATATTCATAATTTGATTCCAAGGTTAGAAAATTAATAACTGTGATAGACCAGAATGAAGTTAATGAATTTCTAAAGTTTATGCTTTTTATAATAAAACCATTCAAGCTAAAGCATTTGGACCTCCGCTACATCCACAGATCAGGCACTTTGATACTCAACAGGTTGAGTAAATTGAATCCATATATTGTATTTACGTTCTCTGTCAAAGTTGCTTCTCTACATTTCAGTGATCAAAGGAAAAACAGTCATCGACCCTGTAGCCCTCAATACTATATTCATTACATTTAATCAAGTGCCAACTCCACCGCATCATTCACCAGTCTTAAGAATGTTTAAATGTACGGCACTGTCTAGTAACAACTACAGACAAGGTACTGCCTTAAAATACAACCCTTAAACAAAACAACAAACCAAAACAGAAGGCAAATGAGTATCACCCTCTACAGTGTGCAAGAAAATAAATGTTCAAATACACAGAAATGCCCAACAAACATTTGGCAGGAGGTTTTCTACCTGAGGCAGCATCAATCACTGTAGAAGAAACTCCCCTTCGATCAGAGACTGGACGTGATGACCCTGGCATGCTGACTGGGTCAGAGCGGACTGGCTGGATCCTGCAATGCAATTTAATTTAATTCACATATGTTACTGGCATGAAAATTATCGCTACAACAGACCTTAAATCAGGCATGTTGGAATACTCAATCCATTAAAGAACCATTCATTCTAAAACCAGACAAAAAGGGAACTGCAGTCCCTAATTCTTGCACACAGTTAAAACACTACACTTTTTTCATTCCAGCCTCTTTCCAGCTTATTTATTATGTTTTTCAATATATTTTTAAGGGATTGAAAGCTGACATTAATTTAAAGAGAAAAAATTAAGTGGAATAGGAATTTGCAAGGAACATATGACACTAAGTATAGGACAACAAAGTTGGGTTGCAGGTAGAATGATTTACCAAGAATCACTAATGACTGGGTACCCCAATAAAACTACCAATTAGAATGAGACTCAGTTCAGACTTCAGGGAAACTGCAATTGATCACATATACATAATTTCAAGTAGCTTAAAAATAATTAACATGTGCGCTGAGGATGTAGCTCAGTGGTAGAGCACTTGCATAGCATACACAAGGCCCTGAGTTCAATCTCTAGTATCATCACCATCACCATAAAAAAACCAAAAACGATTAACATAAAAATAGAAGGATCTCTTTCAAGCTGACTTAGAATAAACACTGTATTACTAACACAAAAATATCTGTAAGATCACAATGTCTTGGCATCCAAGGCAATTTATGTAAACAAAATTTTGTTAGAAATAGTTATGACATGCATTTTGGGTAACTAATTCATACAATGAGTGTTAGTGAATATGCACTGCATATCAACATTATTTTGGGAACAAGTAGAAACAAAACATGAAACACAAGGTCCAAATGCAAATACATAAGGTAGCACACTGAAATTCATGAACTGTTCCTGAAGAAAATTAAAGTTCAGAATTAGAAGACGATATAAAATGTAAGATCTCAGGATGAATGAGAGCATATAGTCAAATGCTGCTTAACTGTGTATGGGTCAACAATAGACTGGGGAAAGGTCAGTTTATACCACCTGGTGATGTAGCCATCTTAATTTGTGAGTATAAAACATGTGCTCACACAATGACATTTGTCAAATGACCCATTTCTCACTAAGCATCACAGGACCATATATTTATGGTCTGTATCAGGTAGAAAAGATGTTGTGGGTCACGAGCAGGAATTGGGTCTGTGTGTCCTTCCACACCTGTGGTTTCAGATTCTGTGTGATGGAGCCAAAATTGGACCAAAAATATTAAAAAATAAACTAACTTTTTTGAACATGAATACACATTTTTCTTGTCATTATTATCTAATCATGTAACATTTTACATAGCATTTACATTGTATTAGGTATTATAAGTACTCTAGAGATGATTTAGAGGATCTTCTCAGGTTGTATCAATTACAGCCCAATAAAAGGACTAGCGTGATCTCCTGTGAGACAAAGCACTGTCATAGGAGACACAGATGATGAAGAGGAGCAAGAAGTTTCCTTCAGACACAGGGTAGGATAAGCAGAACCTTCAGTTTGGGATGAAGCATCATAAATGCAGGGAGGCTGAAAAAGTATGATTTGGCTGAAGTTACAGTGCACAGGCATTCCTGGTGGGGAAAAAGATTTTGATGAGAAATATGAAAGAGAATCTCGAACTCTAAAATGCCAAGTACCACTTGCAAAGATTTTAAATGTATGTTTGTTTGTTGTGGAAAAGAAATGAAACAAGGAGAAAGATGATGTCCTCCGCCTATTATATCCAAAACACTGATATGCAAATATAAGTCACAGCTGTAGAGTATTATCCAATATTCTGCTTCACTTTGTTTTCCTACAGCAGCAATGACAAGCCATCGCACTGTGCCAATGGTTAGTCAGTGCTGGTATGGGCAAGCCTAAGGGAATGTGGGCAGTAACAAAAGGACAGCCTTGGCTTCTGGAAAACAAGTTTCCATTCTTCAGAGCAAACAGAAGCTAGCCTGTTAAATGTGCTCATCGAAAGTAAAGCTTGTTTTCGATTTAAACTTCTTACATAGGCAAATATATTTCCTATTGTTAAATTATACTGGGATTTCTGAATAATCCAGAGTTGGAATAGGGATAAAGATTGGCCATGAATTGATGTGTTGAAGATGGACAGGCAACAAATATATGTATTTTCTAGTATTCATTTTAATAGTAGGAGAGGATGGAAGGGAGGGGAAAGGAGAGTTAAAATGTGTTATGTACATGTACCAGCTCCCCACATGAAGGTAATCACTATGTACTGCAAACATGTGCTAATAAAAAAAGGTATTGGTAAAATTCTTGGTAATTAGAAAATAAACTGGTTGGGGCCGGGGAGATGGCTCAGTGGAATAAGCACTTCCTTGGCAAGTCAAGGGCCTGAGTTCAATCCCCGGTTCCGCAAAAAAAAAACAAAAAAAAAAAACAGAAAATAAACTGGTAGAAATGATGGAAACATTCTAGAATTAGATAGGAGGGATGGATGAAATACTGGGAATATATAAAACCAGGAAGTTGTCAGACCCTTCCTCTTTTTGCTGCTAGGGATCAAGCCAAGACCTCAACTCCTGAGATACACACCAAAATCCTGTATGGTATACTTGTAAATAGGTGACTTTTATGTAGTGTATGGTCTACATCAGTTAAAATAAAATACACTGCTACTAATCTTTTAAGATTGGAAAGGAGTATACACTTAGGTTCTTTTATACTGTATGTCTTCACTGAATTGTACATTTTTATATCCACTGAATTATATCTATGTATTATATTTCATTATTATTATTTTCTTTTGGAGATAGGGTTGCAGTATGTACTTCAGTTTTTGTTGTTGGTGGTTTTCTTTTTCTTTTCTTTTTTTTTTTTTTGCAGAGCCAGGGATTGAACTCAGACCCTTGTGCTTGCCAGGGAAGCACTTATTCCACTGAGCCTTCTCCCTGGCCCCTGTACTTCAAGTTGCTCTTGAATTTGTGACAATCCTCTTCACTTCTGCCTCCTGAGTTCTGGGATTATAGGTATGAACCACCACATGTAGCTTCACTGAATTTTTTTTTTTTTCAAATTTATTTTATTTTATTTATTTGTGTGTGTGTGTGTGTGTGTGTGTGTGTGTGTGTGTGGCCAGCTCAGCCCACCAGGGGGCAGGGCTGGCTGGCGTGTGGTGCTGGGGGATTGAACCGCGGTCCCTTGTGCTTTGCTAAGCTTGTTCTAAGTAGGTGCTTTAGACCACTGAGCCATCTCCCCAGCCCAAATATGTTTTTGGGTTTTTTTTTTTTTTTTTGGCGGAACTGGGGATTGAACTCAGAACCTTGAGCTTGCCAGGCAAGCACTTATTCTACTGAGCTGTCTCCCAGGCCCCAGCTTCACTGAACTTTTGTTTGTACATTTTAAATCACTGCCCTGTGTGAAGAACTACTATGAGACAGCTCCCATATAGACAATAGTCAACTAAATTCATGCCTATTCCCACTTGCAGGTAAGTATTCTACCGTGCATTACATATTTTCAGTGGTACTTTAAGCACACAGGCCAGTAACTACAGATCAGTTCAGACAGATGCTGAAGCAAGTACCTGACAATGTAAAGGAGTGTAAGGTTGATGTCCCACCATAGTGCATCTGTGTATAAAGCTGAAGGAAAGTGCATGTCCTACAAAAGAGAAACTGGAAGTGACTGCTAGCAAATAAAGTGCAGAATTTAAATAACTGGATTTCTAACTGGATAATGACTGGGAAATGATACTGAACAGGGCAATTAAAATTGATATAAGTTACAACCTAATTTCTCATAACTGGGTTATGATGGGATTACATTTTTAATCAAAATGCTAACCAATTCTATCTGATCAAATTTTGATATATAAATCATAGAAGCAATGAAAATAAACTTATAAGGGCCAGCCAGATAGCTCAGTGGATTAAAGTGCCTGCATAGGCAGATGCAGGGACTGCAGTTCAATCTCCGGCATGCTATGCCAGCCCTGCCCCCTGGGCACACTGACAGGGTGATTGAGACTGGGCATTGTGGTGCACACCTGTAATCCCAGTACTTGGGAGGCTAAAAACAGGAGCATCACTATGAGTCCAATCTGCATAGTGATACCCTGTAGACCGTGTACTAACATAAAAATAAATTTGTGACCATTGACCCATGTAGCTGTTTGTAATATCCAATGTATAAGACAATATTTTAATCAAAAATAAATAATTTAGTGATATAAATGAAAATAATACTAGGAGCTCTTTCATGTAAGAAAAAGGGAAATCCCTGAGGAAGTTCTGAAGAATGTTGGAAACATAGCTGTACCAACAAAAGCACATTAGAAAGATTTTAGAAAACAGGCTACATCTAAGGTGAAAAGTTACTAAGAAAGCTGAAGTGCACCATCAAACAAAGGGACAGAGTGGTACATATAGGAGCTAGAGACACCTTCCAAAGAGAAAAGACAAGGTCTTAGAAGAGCAGGTAATAGCAATCAGTCATCAGGAAAAACATGTCAGGGTCTCATGCATTTATAAGCAAAGAGAATAAATAAGTTACACAGTTGTAAAAAAAAATGGGTTCACTATATTAAAAGCTTTATTATTATTAAATTTTAAGTAACTAAATGACAGTTGCAAACATGAATGATCATATAGTGAATTACTAAGTTAAAAAGGGTTGACCAAAGTGACTCGCTGTGAGTGGCTTGACTACTTAATCTAGACCATATTTCATGAAGAACAACTGAAATTGGTCTAGCATCCACAGTACTATGTTACTGTTGTTTGACATTTTGAGGAGAAAATGACATTTCTAGAGAGCTAAAAAATAATGTTAGGGACAACAACAAGAAAAAAGCCCACCCAAGAATATAAGAAAAACACAAAGCAAACTAAAACTATACCCCAAAATGGACACTAAATAAGAACTTAAGTTCCTCTTTAGGAACAATTATTTAAGAAGATATATTGTTGGGGAGAGATGTAAAAGGGGAGGTAAGTGAGGACCACACTGACAAAAAGCTACAGTTTCTTTTTTCTTTTTTTTCAGGACCGGGGATTGAACTCAGAACCTTGAAGAGCTACAGTTTTTAGGGGGCCAGCAGGGAGACTATGGGAGATTTTGAATATATTTTAGAGTTGAAATGACCTAATGTGAAGAATGAGATGTGGCAGGTATAAAAGATAACAAGATTAACCCCGAGAGTCCAGGTTGAGGCCCAGGTGATTTGAGGACTCAATTAAAGAGATGAGAAAGGTTAGAGGAACAACAATAGGATTATAGTGTGAAAAGAAGAGTTGTAATCCAGACATGTAAGGTACTGAATAATCTGGACACCATCAAGAAGGAAAATAAAATAAGCAGCTGCCTATATACAAAGGTGACTTCCAGCATGTAGTTGAGTACCTCGAAGGTCAAATAAAAAAGAACAAAAAAGAAAAAAGAAACAGGTCTTCCAACAACTTTGGTTTTATTATGAAATTTTCTTATGGTTGTTGACAAAGGGATATGAAAAACTTCTAAAATGTGAATGGATGCTTGGAGTGCCTGTCATTCTGGTCTTCTGAATACGGGCTGCTTGTCATGACATGCCAGTTGCTGCTGTGCTGTCTCTCGGGTAGATGATTGTTCAAAAACAAGGGGGTGGTGAATGAAGGCAAGAGACAGGAAAAGGAATATTGTGGGACTGTCCTGCTTCAAGGTTGTATATGGTGAGATTTTTGGACTTATGTGTAAACATAAGAAGTATATAATTCTTTATGCCTATTTTTAAAAATATATTCTAATTTTTAAATGTTTTTTCATCATATTCTATAGGGACTTAAAGTTCAACATATCAATACTTGATGAAAAATACCTGTTCCATGTTATGCCTAAGATGTTTGATATTCAGACAGGTAGTGAGGTTAAGCTTAACAGCCTAGGTTGTATGGTAATAACAATAAGCTTGTCTTCTGGAGGGTTAACAACCTAACTTTGCAGACCAAAATTAGAGAAAAAGGAGGGCCCCAAGGAAAGCCAACATTTTGGCCCTAGCCTTCCAAGGTCACTTAAGACTCAGGACATATGAGAACTTGTAATGTAATGTCATGTAACTCGGTAGTATCCCAAATTTTCTGATCAAGGAGATTATGGGGGCCAAAGAGGAAAGTGATCGATGATGTAGAGTGTGCCTAAGGAGAATCACATGGAGAGAAAACATTCTCTCAGGCTTTCACAGAGAGCACAATGGCCAAGCAATGGCCGTGACTCATCCACATGGCTGACACTGACAAAGGTTCTACAGTCTGAGGTACAGGACCTCAGGATAAATCCTGAGGGGATTTCACTGACCTTATCAGACCCAAAAGCTACAACTCTTGTTGCATAGGTCCTGCTTTACCTTGGTCTTAACCATCCAGCAAAAAAGCATAAAAACTAAGTATAAGAAGTAAAGCCATGCTGTTATGTTGAGCTGTAAGGGACTCAGGTCAACAATTTCTAACATTGCCAGTGAAGTGGAAGACCCAATACTATTATGAACTACTGAACTCTTTTAGAATATTTTGCTGAGTTTACACACCTATAATATTTAAATGATGGAACTTAACAAAAAAAGGGGATACAGATGAATGTCCATTTTGTTTCTGTGTATTCAAAGTGGTTAGGATAGATAGTTACATTCTCTTAATGAATAGAGGGATTTGTTCTAATGGTGTTTGTAAATAGGATATGATGTCTGCATCTTGTACAGCAATTAACCACTAGGAAGAATTATGCAATGTGTTAATTATTGAAACTGTCCTGCCAATTTGATTTGAAACTGTTTCATTGTTATTTGTTTCTCAATAAAATTATGGAAAAAAAATAAAATGTGAATGGAATATATATATTTGTCTATTATTTTAAAGATATGAAAGAAGGATAGGTGGTTGGTTTATATTCATTTGTAGATACTAGGGGAGGGGTGCTGGGGATCAAACTAGGGCCTTGGGCAGATGAGGCAAATATTATACCATGGAGCTATACCCTCAGTCCCTAGAATATTTATTTTTTAAGTGGAGACAGGAAAGTAGATTGTACTTCATGAGGCTGACGCCTTCATCATTGCCTGCAGATTAACCCGTTGGTGTAACAGATTGAACTGCTAAGCAAACACAAGACTGCAAAAGTAAAAACCAAAACAACCTCTTAATTGTATTATGATTCTGGCAAGGAAGGAGGATCAAAGGATATATATATTTTGAAAAAATAAATGACAAATTATAAATGAATGTATAATAACACTTGCTCATAAAAACCTTTTCTTCTGATAATTTAAGAGAAAAAGCAGAATTACATAAAAATCACAGATGAAATTTAACTGCAAGGTGACATTAACTTCAAAGATATCATGAAAAGAAGATATAATCACATTTCAAGCATTTACAATATAAGCAAAAGCACTACCAAGTGGGATGGCTTTCAAAACCTCATTAGATTTATGGCAGATGCCTATAATGGCAGCTCTCTGGGAGACTGAGGCAGAGGACTGAAAGGCTGAGCCCAGGCTGGGCAACTTAGAGACCATAAACTCATTACATATAGTATATGTAGTCGGCAACATGAAATTGTGTCAAAGGTAAAATGTAAATATCTCATGGGAAGTTCATTTCAAATGAATAACTTATCAATCCTGTCATTCAAGTAACTTTCCAGTCCATATTTCCTACCTGAGACTATTGAGATCAAGATCATCTGTATCAAAATCCAAAAGAGGCTGTGGCGTGTCACTCGGACCGTGAGACTGCAACACAGACGAGCTGGATGATATGACTGTGGTTTGGCCTGAAGGGTGGATGATTTTGAACTGAAACTGTGGACCCATCCATAGCCGTCTGTGGGGTCCGGTGTGTGTTACAATTTCAACCTGGGAAAGAGTTAGAATCGTGATTTAAATATACTATGACTTCTTTTGAGAACCTTTAATAATTCCACATCCCATCTTTCAGCAACCACATTCTCCAAGAAGGATACGTTAATGAACGTGAGAGGATAAAAGCACTCATAATCGAAAGGCGTTCATAATCACAGACTACACAGATAATCACTGTTCTCGGTCTTATGTAAATATACAAATGTAGACACACATGCACATGAAGTATGCAACATAAAAATCACACAAAAGTAAGAGGACTGGCTGCCCGCCTCACATAACCAGCATCTGCTCCCAGGTGCTACCTTCTTTATTTATTCAACACAGTACTTCCCACACTGTGAGCAGCACTTAATGCTACACCTATTAATCCACAGATTTAAAGTAATTCTTTCACTGAGGACCAAGCTCATGAAAAATCTGAACTTGTTCTTGAGCTATCCAACAAAAGAAAAGCTCTCACATAAATTTTAACTCCGAAAGCCAGTTTTTTTCTACAATTCAATATTGCAATAGCTGTGTTGTATTCATCATCTCCAAAAATCTACTTTAAATTAAGAATTATTTTTTTCAAACTAGATGTTTTTGTTCTTAAAATACTATTAGAGTGTTTTCACAATGGTACAAACTTTGACGCAGAATTTTATGTGTACCAAAGCAATACTACAAAACTGCTTTATAAATTTTCTGCTCTGTGGAAGGGGTTGGGAATGTTCCAAATATTAAACATTGTAAAAAATGGGAGATAGTAGAAGAATATTTGGTAAAATCTTAAAATAGACACATTTCATGATTTTACAAATAATCAGCTTGAACAGAAGAAGAACGATATAAGCCTTTGATGGAAAACTACTGTATTTCTTAAGGACTAGTCCTTGCTGTATCCGTGTTTGTGCACTTGATGGAACTGACTTCCCATGTGCTTTGAGTCTTTGCTCTGATTCTTTTATATTTAATCACATTTGTCTGATGGCAGCGATTAATTCTTAACAAAACATAACTGAAACGGTTCACAGAGTGTAGCTCTGTGTTTCTGAGTCCGAAAGGGCAAAAGCATCATGGTCTTGGAACAATATTCACATTCCCACTAATTACAGGGAGAAAAACACTCAGATGGAGGACAGTGATTTCTGATTCAAGTGGTTGTATTCAGCAATGTAAATTAGGCCACAGATAAAGTGTTCTGTGTATTTTAAGCTCAAAACCATCAGTGTCACAGAGCCGAGAGGTAAACAGATGCCTACGCAATTTCACTGAGGCAATGGCCAGATGTTCCTATATTCACTCTCCTATTTTGTGCAGGACAAACATACTGTATATACTTTCACACTGACAGGACACATTACCTTTTCTTCTAATTGAAATTTTGAAGTGAAGGACAGTAGATCCTTTGCCAGCACACTCAAGCAAAATTTTAATTTTGGGAAAAACATAAGAAAGGATGAGCCTCCATCTGACAGGATCTGAAGCTTTGCTGAGGAGCTTCCCATGAGTATTTGTGGTATGATAAAATAAATACATGCTGCCTAAAAAATGTTTTAATTCTGCACTATCCAGATCCACTTCATTTTTTCAAGCTAGCCTCCCTAAGAAGCCAATGAAACTAAAAAGGGTCTCCACTTTTTCTGAGGCACCTGTCTGAGGAAAAGTTGCCAGATTGGTAATCTGAGACAGGTCATTAACTTCATTAAATGATGTCAGACTTGAGGCAGACATAACAGCATTTGTAATGAAGTCACTTTTAATCTCACCATTTTGAAATCTGCCAAGTAGCTTTTATTTGAAAGCTCCTTGGATGAAGAGAGCTCCACATGACAAAGGTGAGGCCAGACCAGCTGAAGCTGTTGGAGGACTTGTTTAGAGACCACTTAGGAAGGAGACTCAGTTAGCACCACCAGAACAAGTGCCTGGTACAATGCCGACCTTCTATAACGAAAGCGAGAGGCCGTCTTCAGAAAATGATGGTTCCAAAAATCAAATACTAATATTGCTGGATGGATCCAATGTTTTAACAAAGGAAAATCTTGCTTCGAAACTGATGAAATTGTGTTCTAAAGAGTCTGCTGTCCAAGATCCAGCATCTCAAGGACTTTAAATGGGTTGTTTCAAAGAGATGCACATTTTGTGCACTCCATGTTAAAGCTAGTAGGATATACATGTGAATAAAATGTACTTAAATATTTGTACATGTGTATACTTTCAACAGTATTTCTGAGAAATTCTTAATATAACTGATTAATTT